TTTCATAATAAAAACAACTCGACAAACTAGGAATAGAAGAGAACTTCCTCAGTCTGATAAAGGGCATCTACAAAAAATCCACAGGTAATATCACACTTAACGGTATGAAGGCTTTCTTCCTAAGATCAGGAACAGGACAAGGATGTTCATTCTCACTACTTCTATTCAACATTGTACTGGAGATTCTAGCCTAGACAGTTAGGCAAGAAAAAGAAATAAAAGACACGCAGATTGGAAAGAAAGAAGTAAAACTATATCTATTTGTAGACAACATGATCATGTACTAGAGCTAATAATTCACCAAGGTTGCAGGATACAATATCAATACACAAAAATTAATAGTATTTCTATACACTAGTAATGAACAATCTGAAAATAAAATTAAAATAATTTAATTTACAAGAGTATCAAAAAAGAATAAGATACTTAAGAATATATTTAACAAAATAAGACTTGTACCCTGAAAACTACAACTTCTTTGAAAGAAATTAAAGACAAACAAAAAGAAATACTGTTTTCATAGACTGATAAGACTAAAACTGTTAGGATGGTAATACTCCCGAAATTGATCTACAGATTCAACATCATCTTTCAACATCTCAGCTGGCTTTTTTTTGCAGACTTTGACAAGCTGATCCTAAAATTTATACAGAAATGCTGGGTCGTAGGACTTAGAAATCAATCTGGAAAAAGAACAAAGTTGGAAGACCTACACTTCACAATCTCAAAAGTTACAACGAACCTAGGGTAATCAAGACAGTGTGGAACTGGCATAAAGATAGGTATATGTGACACCTCTCTCCCCATCTCTCTCTCAGTGTCTATCTATATCTATATGGATGGGACAGAATTGAGAGGCCAGAAATAAACTTTCACATTTATAGGCAAGTGAATTTCAGCAAGGGTGTCAAAACAATCTAATGTAAAAAGGATAGTCTTTCTAACAAATGGTGCCAGAAAACTGTATATTCACATGAAGTTGGACTTCTACCTCACACCATATACAAAAATTAACTCAAAATGGATCAAAGACTTAAATTTAAGAGGAAATACTATAAAGCTTGAAAACACAGGTGTAAATCTTCATGACCTTGGATTTGGCAATGACTTTTTAAGATATGACACCAAAAGCAAAAGCAACAAAAGAAAAAATAGATAAATTGGACTTCATCGATATTAAAAACTTTTCTTCTTAAAAGGACACCATCAAGAAAGTGAAGACAACCCAATGAATGAGAGAAAATATTTGCAAATCATATATCTGATAATGGACTTGTATCTAAAATATGTAAAGAACTCTTATGACTCAATAATAAAGACAAGTAACCCAATTTAAAAATGGGCAAAGGATCTGAATAGACATTTCTTCAAAGAAGATATACAAATAGCCAACAAACACATGAAAAGATGCTCAATGTCACAGTCACCAAAGAAATGCAAATAAAACCACAGTAAGATACCACTTCACACCCACTGGGATGGCTATAACTAAAAAGACAGAAAATAACAAGTGTTGGCAAGATGTATAGAAACTAAAACCCTCATACATTGCTGGAGGGAATGAGAAATGGTGCAGCTGCTCTGGAAAACAGTCTAGTGGTTCCTCAAATGGTTAGACAGAGCAATCATATGACCCAGAAAGTCTATTCTTAGTTCCAGCCATACTAAAATGCTCACATTTCCCAAATGTATACACCCAAGAGAAATGAAAATATACATCCACACAAACATTTGTACACAAATGTTAATAGTAGCATTATTCCTAATAACAAAAAAATAGAAACAACCCAAATATCCATCAACTGATGAATATATAAATAAGGTAGACCTTTACAGTGGAATATTATTCAGCCATAAAAAGTAATGAAGTACTGATACTTGCTACAACATGGATGAACCTTGAAAATATTATGCTAAGTGAAAGAAGCCAGTCACAAAAAAATCACATATTGTATGAGTCCATTTATGTGAAATGTCCAGACAGGCAAATCCATAGAAACAGAATGTACATTGCTGGTTGCCTAGGGCTGAAGGGAGGGGGTTGAAGGGTGATGGTTAAAGAGTGTGGGGTTTGGGGCGGCAGGGGGATGACGAAATGTTCTAAAATTGACTGTGGTGTTGGCTGCACAATTCTGTAAATATACTAAAAATGAATGAATGTACACTTTCAATGGGTGAACGGTACAGTATGTGAATTATATCTCAAGAAAGCTGTTACACACACACACAGACTCTCCTCCTCTATGACACCTTTCTTGAGCCCCCAATAAAACTGACCATTTGACTGTGTGTCTCTACCTCTCCACCTGCAAAGACCTGAGTAACTGCAACTGATGCTTTTGTGCACTTGTCTGATACCTGTTTTCCTCTACCAAACTGTGGGTTCTTCAAGGCAGAAATTTGGCCAATTTTTTCTTGGAACCACAGTATCTGTACACTGTGTGTATACTATATTAAAGGGTACATCATAAATATTTGCTAAAAGACTACCTTAATGGCTGTCATATGGAAAAGGGACTGTGTTCCCCAATGGGCAGAAATGGAAGACACAATGACACAAATTTTAAGAATTTTCAAATAATCGGGGCAGTCCCTTTCTTCAAAGCAGGGGTTTTCTGGGTTCTGTGAATTCTCTGAATTGATACTCAAATTCTGAATGTATGTATAAATAGTATGTGCATTTCTCTAGGGAGAAAATGCATACTTTCATCAGATTCTCAAAGGGATACGTAACCTAAAAATGGTTAGGAGTCACTGTTTTTAAAATGTCATTTTACCAGGGCAGGGATTTTAGTTGGCAAATTTCAGTTACTGGAATATTTCTTTCAAGGTAAGTTCTTGCCTAGATTACACTACTTTGGTAACTAATGTAAAAAAAGAATTCACAGTATCAGTAGCTTCATAATGCTAAATTATTCCTTTAAAAGTATCATTGACTTCCTATTACATGCCGGGTGCTGAAGAAATAGTGGTAAACAAGACAGACAAAGTTCCTGCCCTCATGGAGCTTAGGTTGTAGAAGGTGGAGACAAAAAATAAATGAGTAAACAAATAAGAAAATTTTGTATCATATAGCAATGCCTGCAATAGAGAAAACAAAACAACATGATGGAATAAGGAATGATGGAAGTGGAAAGAGTTATTTTAGCTAGGGTCATCAGTGAAGTTTCTCTGAGGGGGCTACATTTGAGCTGAAACTTGAATGATGAGAAGGAAGCTGAGGGAAGAGGACCTCAGGAATAATGAGAACAGAGAGTGCAAAGATTGTAAGATGAGAACATTAAACACCGGCACTTGAGTTCTCAAGGGAAAGAACCAAGTCTAATCTCCACTCTATACTCCACAACCTTCAGAGGAGTGTCTGCCACTCATTCATTAGAACTTATTCAAGACAATTCAGCATAATGGGAATTCAATTCAGTAAAATACTGCTCTAGAAGAATCTTACTGCTGAAGATTATCATGAATTTACCCTTCTTCAAGGCAGACAGTATCATTAGACAAAGTGAGTAAAACCTTTGGGGTTTTGCAATAAGAAAGAAAGAAAAAAATAAGAACTAACATGTAAAGATTTTTTAGAAGTCTCTTCCACGTAGGTAGTTTTACAAGCATAAGGATTATCAAGCAAATTCCACAAACAGAATTCTAGATTCAATCTGCCCTCCACTCCTAGAGCCTGGTGCTTTGCACCTGTAATATTTATAATCTATGATGTGCAAGAGGGTGGAACTACAGGCAGTGTGCACAAACTAGAGGAAGGTTGATATCAGTGCAAAAGGAGCCGTCCATGAATCAACAGATTGAACACCAGCGGAAATGTTTGGAGACTGTAAAAACATGTCTCAAGGATGTTACAGAGATAACTTAAAGAAGAAAGCTGCCAATAGAACTTCATGACCTGTAGAGAATTGTTCTAGTTCCTTCTCCCAGACTTTGGTATGCATGCCTTCATACTCAATCATTATGTAAAACCCCAGAATGCAACCAACATCGTGGATTTTTAAACACCACATCATCATGCCAATAACAAAAGACTGACAGATAAATAACTGTTTAAGAGGTATGTAGTGATTTGTTCATCTCAGTAGTTGAAATCTGGATTATTAAAATCTGCAAGTTATATTTTAAAAGGCACAAAAAGAGGCTGAAGCAGTGAGAGCCCAACACCAAATTGAAAGTACACAACGAATTAAGGTTAACACCACCAACTGGAACTGACTTTATTTCACACAAAGCACGACAGAAAGCACACGGAAACCCTACAGAGGGAATCCAAGTGGGAGCCCTCTTGACTCAAAACACTTGACCAGATGGTGACAGGTTGAGTTAAGCAAGTGAGGGGACGGGGGAAGGGTGTGTGAGATGTCACCTAGAGGATGCTCAGGCATGTATGCATGCATTAATGGCCCTTCCTGCGGCAGGAGGTCAGGAGGGACCCGGCGCCCGGTGGAGTTGGGCCGCTCCCCACTGATGCCAAGGGAACCGTGGTGCTTGGCGCCTCCCAAACGCCGGCCAGTCCGCGTTTCGTGGATGTCTAGGTGGGGACGGAGACCCGGGGCCGCCCCTCCCCGCGCAGCGCTCTCCGCGCCCGAGCCCGCGCCGGGGGCCGAGGGGGCGCAGGCCTGCGCTTACCTTCGGGCGCCGGCGGCGGCTCCTGCCGCTTTCCCCGGGACAGGAAGGCTTTGGGCAGCAGCAGCGACACAGCCAGCACGAGCCCCGAGGCCAGGGCCACCCTCTGCACCGTCGAGTACGCCATGGCCGCTCGCCCTCGCCACAGGTGCCGACGCCCACCGGAACCGGAACCGCAGCGCCGGCGGCCTCCTGCGACCGAACCGCGGGCTGCGCCGACGGCGACGCGCGAGGGACAAGCGCGCTGGGTGCGTGCGCCTCCGGCTCGGCGGTGGGGGGCTGACCGCGGCTCCCGCGAGGTCACCCGGCGCTGTGAGTGGTACCCCGCCGCCCTCCTGTGTGTGCAACCTGGAAACCCCTCGGCCTCCCGCCCGCCCCACCACCACCTGTGCGTTCTACCGCCGACACAGCCCACCGGCTCCCCACCCGCCCCAGGCCGCATCATCCGTTTCCTCCGGACCGCAGTGAACTCAGTCTTCCAGCTTCTACCCATGCCCCTCGCAGCCAAAGGTAATAATGCTAAAACGCAGGTCTAATCATCTCTTTCCCCAGCTTAAACCCTTTCAAAAAGTCTTCTTTGTGCTCAGAACAATGATCAGACTCCTTTCTATGACCTTAAGGCCCTGCATGATCTGGTCTTACCAATGCTGCGTTTAAACTGGATCGTTTGCCATTGCCCCAGCATATTCCTTGCTTTCAGGGAACCTTCTCTTGTTCCCTCTGCCTGGAAAATTCCTAACGCCATCTCCACCTGTTAAAAACTTCTCTGCAGAACAGCTGAAAAAATACTACCCTCATGAAACTTTTTCAGTCAGCCTCTCCTTCTGTATCGCCACAGTTCTTCGTTACTGTCTTTATTCATTTACTTAATAAACATTCTTTTGGTTCTTACTACGTATCAAAGCCTGAAATGGCACTAAAAGGTCTGATGAATAAGGTGGGTTCCCTTGTGGGGCAGATAGGTATCTAAACAAGAAATGCAGGAAATATTCTGGACTCCGGAGTAATCAGCTGAACTGGGAGGAGGAGGAGTCAGGAAAAGCTCCTGAGAGTGGGTGAAATTTCAGTTTTTGAAGGGTGGGTAAGTTACTAGGCAGATGCGTGGGAGGAGTTAGGGTATTCCGGGAAAAGGACGCAAAGAAAGAAAAGACGTGAAAGCTTGAAGCTTCCTGATGTGTTCCCAAAACTATTAGTAATTCATTTTAGCTGGACTATAGGGTTGGTGCCAGGACATGAAGTGATAAGACTGTTGGAGCAGGAGCCAGATTGTGACAAGCTCAGATATGACTTCCAGTTAAACATGGCAGATGGAACACACCCATTTATTTTTGCTTTCCCCAGACACCTCACAAAAAGAAAATAAAGAGATAAAGTGTATCAACTACAAGACTAAAGAGAATGGGAGAAAACATGACAGCAGACAAGAGGTGTCAAAATTTTGTAAGATGAAACATTATCCAATAGAAAGATACTGCCAGTCACATGTGTAGTTAACTTTTCTAGTAGCCACATTTAAAAATTGAAAATAAACAGGTGAAATTAATTTAATAATATATTTTATTTAACCCCGTATACCCAAGATATTATCATTTCAACACGTGTAGCACTAGTCAGTCACACTTCAATGGCTTAATAGCCACATATGACTAGTGGCTACCATGTTAGACAGTGCAGGTATAGAACATAAAAAGTGAAGTGCCTACAGAGGGAACACCTCTAAGATGCAAACTAATTTCCCCCCAGAACCTATAAAGTCTTAGGAATTGGAGGCACTGAATACCTTTAAAGCCAGAGATGTGGAATGGGGCTGAATGAAGAAGGATTGGTTGAAAGTCTGGTTAAGACTTAGCAGTTGATATCATCCAAATCTAATCCCTCAATTATTGCAGCCAGGTGGTTACCCCTACTGGCATCACTCAGGCATCATCATCCTTGATATCATCCACATCTTTTAAAAGTTTTTGAGTACGTACTATGTTCCAAGTATTTGCATAGCAATTGACTCTCCTAGCAACTTTATGAAGTAAGCAATATTGTTATATACCCATTTTACAGGTGAGAATACCAAGGAACAGAAAGCTTAAGTAACTTGCCAACAACTACACAGTATTAATTGGAAGCTATACTTTGAATCCAGGCATGCTTACTCCAAGACTTGCCCTCTTAACTATTACTTTTACTCTCTGGAACCAGAGAAGCTCTGGACTCATGGAAAACAAGTGCAGCTTCAGGAGGTGGTAAGTAATGGGACATAGCTTCTAAGAAGTGCAGAGGAATCTGGGATGATCCCCTAAATTCTGGCTTGGGTGACTGGTTAGACATTGATTCCATATAACAAGATTTTGAGAACAAAAGAATCAGGTTTGTGAGAAAGATGATGAGTTCAGATTTTGACTAGTTGAGTTTGAGATTCCTTGAAATATCCATGTAGAGCTATCCAGTTTGATATATGGATTTGAAGCTCAGAAAAGATGTTTGGGCTGGAAACAAATATGGAAGTGATTGGCCAATCAATAGTAAATGAAGTCTGGGAGAAGATGACATTAGCAAGAGCACTCATGTAAAGTGATAAGAGGCCCCAGTGGAAGCCTAGGTTACACCATTGTTTTGAAGTTCCCAAGTGTGAAGATGGAAGTGAGATGGAGAAGAAGATAAAGTCTCAGGTGTTAACATCTTAAATGAAGAAGGAGTTATTGGAGGGTTGGAAGGTGACAGGAACAGTGGGTATGATGAGCAGCCAAATGGCATGCTCTTCTAAGGAGCTGTAGTTTTTTTTGTTGGTTGGTTTCTTTTTAGAGTAGCTGTAGGAGCAGCAACAGGCACTCACAGGCACACTTCTAAGTGCTTGTTACATACATAAATAAATTGATGATGATACAAATCTTCCTGAATAAATACCAGCTCTTATTAGTAACTGCTTGATCCCATTCTATTTTACATTGTTCTACACTCAGAACAAACCTCTTGTCTCTCACCTGCAGTCCCACTGTCACGGAACTTGTAAATTGCTCCCTAGTAGCTCTCTCTTGTGTTCCTAGAGTTCATAGCCCCAGGCTCATTGCCTTCACAACAGTCCTAATTTACCTTCTTTCTGCTTTCATGACACACAGCTTCAGCACAGAAACAAACTGCTTCTAGGCTGCAAGACCCAGAGAGGAGAACCCACCTACCACTGGTGTGCAGTTGGAGGCAGAGAGAGGTTCTCTCAGCCTGAGCCCCAAGGAGTGGGGAAACCTCTGGTTGCCTCCTTCTCCTTGAAATGTATTTCCCCTCTGCCTTGTAATGACTGACGGGGCTGCCTGATATGAGGCCCTTGAGGCCCTGCAGCTGGAGCCAGCTAACTCCAGCTGCTGCCGACCCAGCCTGGCTGGGGGCAGGGACCATTCCTCGTGCGGGGCATCACAAAATCACTCAGTGTAAGTCGGCACAGACATAGTCATTGATCATAGTTTGCCCTGTAGCCAGCTGTCTGATGGGCTGTTGACTTAGTTCTGTAACTTACATTAGTGATTGTCACACTTGATTTTTTCTGATGACAGATCTTGAGTCCGGAAAGCACAGTAAGCAGAAAGTTCGGGAAGTCAGAGAGAGGTAGGAAATGCAGTCAGAGTAAAATACATACTGAGCAGTATGGCAATGAGTGGCATGTGAAGAGGGATGATCTGGGTAGCTTGAACTTAGGATTGTGGCCAAGGTGAATGGGCAGGAGTCGTGACCCCATTAGTCCTGGAAGTGGCCTAGAGCAAGGTGGAAACACAAAGCTATAGTCCAGAGTATTTAGCTGGGACCATGTTCATTGTTGCAGCCAGGCAGGGTATGGGCCTGGAGGAGGTAGGGGCCTCCTCAGGGGGGCAGAGCTGTCAGTCACCTCTTGGAGTGGGACCTGGAATGTCTGCACTCTGGTGGCTGGTGGTATTGTGGAGCCCCTCGAAAAACTCAGGTCTTACCCCCTCCAAGTGACTGCTCGGTTTTTCCAATAAAGTAACAGTAGAGAACTGAGATCAGAAGTCTAATGGCTATAGGCTAAAGAAGGAGCGAATGACGAGGAATTAGAGAGGGCAAATGCAGCTCACAGTGTATGGAGCTTGCATGGAGAGAAAGAGGAAAGATATAGTGATAACTGGAGGGTGTCTGAGGGATGAAGGAGGCTCGTTCTTTTCTAAACAAAGGAGAGGCTTGAGCATGTTTGTATATTGAAGGGGAAGACATTAGAAAGGGGGGATGGAAAATGCAGGGGTAAGGGGGACCTGGGTTGCAGCAATGCCTGGATTCTGGAGCAGACATGAGGAACAGACGATGAACTCAGCAGTAGGGATCAGCTTAGAGGAGAGGAAATGGGAGTGAGTTGAGGCACACATAAAAGGAGTGGTGTAGGGACAGCAAATTAAGGGGGTTCATTTCTCATTGCCTCCCTCTTCTTGGTAAAGGATATGGTGCGGCCATTATCTGAGAGTGAGCAGGGTGGGAGAGGCCTCGTTGAATGTGGTGAAGGTTTGGAAATAAGGAAAGAGGTGTTCAGTAACCACTCCAGCTTAGCAAAGGGGCTCCCTTTGAGGCTTAAAGGCAGCCAGGGATTACCTGTTCTCTCCCTGAAGACTAAGAACATCTTCCAAGCAGCACATTCAGGGCAGGACCTGGCATCCCCCAAGTGTACCCTGGGACTGGCAACCTCCAAGGGACCCACGCTAGGAAGACCGAAGGTGGGCAGGGGAGGGAGGTAAGACCAGAGACGCCCCTAGAGATCAGTTAGCTAAGCAGTTTTGCAAAGGGAAAAGTGAAGTCTGTAAAGGGAAGGGGATTTGCCATGTATCACTCCGACGATTAGTGACTGTAGCAGGATTGAAACCCAGTTCTCCCAACCCCAGACCAGGCTTCTCTCCATACCTCACATAGTCCCTGCAAGTCTGCCAGTTCCTTTGGGCAGTAATGAGGAAATCATCTTCAAAAGTTACAGCTAGACCCTTCGTTTGCTGAATGAGAAATCCGTTCCTTCCCTGTGTCCTCTTCCTACCTGACAGCCTGTGATGAACTGACCCACAATGTTTATCACAGTGGGTGGAAAGACACACAGGCTGCCAGCTCCTGTCCAGACAAGCCTAATGTTCCTGAGCCCAAACTCTGGGCTCTGCTCTCCTCAGAAGCCTTCAGGGACTCCCTCTTGGCTGCCATATTAAGTCCCAGCTCATTGGCCTCTCCTTCAAGGACCTGCATAATTCATCCTCTTGCCCCAAGTCATGGCCTCCTTTCTGGACCGACATGAGCTCTGCTTACTCCTCTCTCAGAAGACTCCTTTACATGATTTCCTTCCTCCTCCCCTTCCACAGGCTATCTTCTCTGATATAGAAGGCCTAAACAAATTGAGCCTCTTGCAGGAAGCCCTCCTGGACACTCCAGCCCATGCTGACTCTTCCTTTCACTGGATTCCTGAGGACATGGTTCCCCATGGGCTTGGGCCTTTCCACCTTGGGGGGACCCCAAGAGGATAGGGCTGTGTCTTCTCCCCATGGCGTGGCTGAGCACAGAAGTGATTCACAGTAGGTGCTTATTAAAGTGTGAGTCTGGTTTCACAAACATACGCAGATTCTCCCACTGCTCCGAGCAATTAGACATCTTCCTAGGAATCAACAACCAGAGGTTGCTTAAAGGGTCACCCCAAAAGGAACAAACTTCTAGTTATAAAATAAGTCCTAAATAATAAGTTATAAAATAATAATAAGTTATAAGTAAATGTTCAGGATGGTGACTAGAGTTGATAATACTATATTGTATAATTGAAAGTTGCTTAAAGAGTAGATCTTAAAAGCTCTCATCACAAGCAAAAAATTTGTAACTATGTGTAGTGATGGATGTTAACTAGACTTATTATGGTGATCATTTCACAGTATATGCAGATATTGAATCATTACACTGAACACTCAAAATTAATATAATGTTGTATGTCAAATATATCTCAATAAAAAAAAAGACATGGTTAAAAAAGAGTCATCCGGGAGAGTCTCATTTCAAAAAGTCACTGATTTTGCCCACCATAGGTCACTCTACCTTATCCGCCAAATTTGCCCTCTAGTGATTGTGATGGTTAATTTAATGTATCACCTTGGCTAGGCCAAGTGCCCAGATATGTAGTCATACATTATTCTGGGTGTTTCTGTGAGGATGTTTTTGGATGAGATTAATGTTTAAATCAGTGCAATTTTAGTAAAGCAGATTGCCCTCCATAATGGTGGCGGGGTGGGGGGGAGGGGGGCAGGAGGGGCTCACCCAATCAGATGAAGGCCTGAATGGAACTAAAGACTGGTCTCCCCTAAGTAAGAGAGAATTACACAGCAGGAGATCTTCAGACTTGAACTCCAGGATTGGCTCTTCCTGGGTCTCTCTAGCCTGCCAGCCCACCCCGTAGATTTTGGACTTGACTAGCCTCTATATAATCACATGAGACAATTCCTTAAAATAAATCTCTCTCTCTTGCTCTCTCTCTGTCTTTCTCTTTCTTTCCTCACGCAGATACACACACACACACACCCAGGTGGTTTTGTTTCTCTGGAGAACTCTGACTAATACAATGACTTCGGCTACTTCCAAAAATGTAATTTCCCCTGTGATTGAGGCTTTTCCATCTCAGAGGAGATTTCAAGGAAGTACCTTGGTCTCTGAAAACAATTTTAAAGAAGATCCCTTAGGAACCACAGCAGCCCCATTGTAGAGTCATGGACCCTTACTATAGGCATGAAATCAAGGTGGTTGGCAGGGAAATGAGACCCAAGTCCCCAGCACACTGAGGGGAAGGGAGCAAGGCCTGTAACACTAAAGCCCAGAATGAAGAGGCTAAAGAGGGAAGGCAAGAGAGGGACAGGATGCACACAAGAGGATATGTTGGACCTAGGCCTTGAAAGATAGGTAGCATTTCCATCAGGGATAAGGGGAATGTGATGAACACCTGTCATTGTAGATGTCCAAAATCTTTTGAATACTCTTTCTTTGATGTTATCCACATTGAGACTCTCACGTTCTCAATGTAGGATCCAACAAACTATATTTCCCCTTACCACTAGGGTGCAGACACATAACTCTATTTCCCCAATCAGACATTCCCATACCTGACTTTGGTTTGGAAGTTATCTGTGAGAGGAAACAGCAACGCCTAGGCTGCCTATTTTGAAGGCATAGGTGGCAGCAGAGGTGGGATGTTCTGGCAGTTGGTGGTGGCCACAAGCAGCTTCGTGACAGGCAGTGCAGA